AGTAGTAGTAGTAGCACCAGTAGTAGCAGTAGCAGTAGCAGTAGCAGTAGTAGTAGTAGTAGTAGTAGTAGTAGTAGTAGTAGTAATGTAGCTGTAGTGGTGGTGGTGGTGGTTGATTAGGCGTTGGCGGTTGGTCTTGATGTTATCCTTGCCGGTGCTGTTGTTGCTGTTACAGTTGCAGTTGTTGAGGCTGTGGTTGTGGTTGCGGTTGATGCTGTTGGTGTTGGTGTTGGTGTTGTGGCTGTTGCTGTTGTTGTTGCCGTCGTCGTTGTTGTCACCCCTGCATTCACTGCTATGGTCATAACTGCAGTTGCAATACCATGCATCGGTACAGTGTTACTTGTTAGCCCCAGTCTCAACCTTGACAACTGGTTCAGGCGTTCAAGGCTTGCTTCGGCATGCTTACGAATCCTGCTGCAGAACATGTAGCAACTTGCACGCCATAAGTCTTGCTTCTAAGCGGCAGTTCGACGTTGCAAACCGCAACACGACTTGACTTCAAGTGGTCCTGTTCTCAGAGTATCTGCAGCTTCAACTCTCTGTCCGGACTCCCCACACCCTGCCGTCGCAGCATTCTGCAAGATCTTCAAGATCAGGGAAACCGGAATCACGCTGCCCACTTGCGCCAAGAGTCAGGCAGCGCTGGGCGAGCTATCGGAGGCTCCGGGCGCCTGAGGACTCCCAAGTGAGCCCCATTGACGAGCTCGAACTCGGTTCAATGAGTTCCTTGGCATCCCTTGTGACTCAACGGGGCTCTTGGGCCGGATGTAAAGTATGTGCAAGGCGCAGGGCCGGTACACAGTTCCAGACAGACTCCTGGACCAAACTCCCGCATTTCGTGGCGAGCCCCTTGGTCATGGGCCTCGTCGTTGACTTTTGTAGCACAGGAACCGCCTCCTGTGTCGACAGAATCGCTTCCCCAGCTCTCCTGCAAAAGTCGTCTTCCTAGTATCGCGGTCTTGTCGTGCAGAAGGCCTGGAGAGGCTTTGCCGTGGGTTTCCGGGTTTGGCAAGGTCATGGTGTGCTCCGAGAGTGCTAGGCGAGCGTGGTCACAGAACGATCCTTGAGACTCTGTGGTCTGCACTGGCATCAGCATTTGCTCGACTATACTTGTGCTGATGATATGATTTCAGCACTACTGTACCAGGATTGGGTTTGGCGTAGTGACAATTGTGCCATTATCAGCTGCGGCAATGTCGTCAGAATGGACTGCACGCCGTTCAGCGGCCTCAGCAAGCAGCTTGCCCAAGCGCCGGGAGCCCTCACCAATCGTGGCGCAGCTGCAACGAAAGCATCCTGTGTTGTTACAGTTTCGGGTTTGAGGACACCAACCCACACACACACAGACGCTCTCTCCTTCTCTCTCTCCCTTTGTCTCTCTCTCCCGCTCCGCGGTCTTGTTCGAAGATTGGGCTACAGAGCCCACGAGCAAGTACTTGCACCGGTTTTGTGCTGCACCTAAACAATGGGAGGCATGCTCGGTTAAGTCCACTACCATTGAAGCGGAGGACAAGTGCATATCCAAGGGCTGCCAAACTAAAGCTGAGTGGGTCCTGTCGGAATCGTCTGAGAGGCATTGGTATCTTGTGCGTTGCATGAGTCAGGAACGGTTCAAATCTTTATGCTCGGCTGATCTGAAAAGCAAAAGAATCGGCCGCTGCGTCCCCCATTGAACACCTTGTAATGCCCGCGATGGTCGAGTCCTTCTTCGACTGAGTTGCGCAGCACCAGCCGGGCAAGGCCTGAAGACCCAACCCAGACTCCTAAACTGTTAGCTTCAGGTCAGAGTCCATTCCGGTTCTTCCAATCTCCTCACCACATGCGTCATGCAGTCTTGCTTAATGCGAATACAAACGCGCAGGGGAAGCTTCACTTCGCAAAGCTTCGACACAAGACTCTGAAGTCCTCAAACCTGCAACCGCGAATACTAGCAGCAGTCATCTTTGAAGCCTCTGCCACTGATGCAGCACTAATCCTATCCCCAGATATCGGAAAGCATTTGTATTACTAGGGCCATGGGGGTATTTCTATCTCTACTGCCACTTTTGAGGGGTCGTGCTCTTGCCCCTGCTTGGCTCTTGCTCCCGCGCTCGCTCTTGCTTTTGCTTTACTCCTACTGCTGCTCTTGCTGATGCTCCAGCTTTTGCTTTTGCTCTTGTTCTAACTCCTGCTCTTGCTGTTGCTCTCACTGTGCTTTAAGGGTATTTGGAGCCTCGAAACCCTCCCGCCTAATTCAGAACAGGTTGTAAAGGGCAGGGATGATTTCGGGAGGATTCGCCCCGATGTGTTCTGATTATTAGGGGGGTGTTTAATGCAAGGGGGAAGTGATTTAACCGAGGACCTGGCTGCGCAGCAGAACAGGGACACACAGGCAGCACGCAGCCCCCTCCTGCCCCATATTTTTTTGGCTTCGAAGTTTGGACGGGATCTGTCCGCAGATTTCGTATACGTATATACAAACGGAGTTCATTGTCCAATTGTCGTCTATTGCGTCTGATTCCAAGCCTCCCGCCCGATTCACCTGTGCAGTGGTGGATGTTCGAAGGCTTCATCGCAGGGTGCAGATGCATGTGCTTTTCTTGTGGTTCTGCGAAGACGCAGATTTTCGAGTGGACTCAGAGACAGCGCTGAAGTTGTTGCCAGCATCAACAGCTCCGGTGAACCAACCTTTGTCCAGGATCCTGGCTCGTCTTCCAATCCTTCCCTCCACGCTAGAATTTACATCCGCACACCCCAAGTCCTGAATCCCAACATCTGTCCACCCTGACCCTTCAAGAAGAACCTCGACCCCACAACATTAGCCTCTGGAGACATTCGACAAAAACTTCCAGGCAACGGTCTTCGGACTTTGGGCACTCCGGCTGGCATCAGCACATGTCAGCGCCATTATGCAAGCTAAGGGTTTGTAGGGTAGTAGTCAAGAAGTAGTAGTAGTAGTAGTAGTAGTAGTAGTAGTAGTAGTAATAGTAGTAGCAGCAGCAGCAGTAGTAGTAGTAGTAGCAGCAGCAGTAGTAGTAGTAGTAGTAGTAGTAGTAGTAGTACAGTAGTAGTAGTAGTCGTAGTAGTAGTAGTAGTAGTAGTAGTAGTAGTAGTG